ATAATAATAAAATGAAATGAAATATTCTAGGAGTTGGCACAGCATGATGATTTAGAGATAAAGACTCTCACCTCCCACTTGGAAGGTTGAGAGGCCAATCGTAGGCAGTGGCAGATGTTTCTCTATCAGGGCACAAAGAGAAAATATTTGCTGCGAACTTTGCATAGGTATCAGGAAGGGCATCTGGCTGGTAAACGCTCAGCTCCATTCAGTCACCCTAACCCTACCCTGAAGCAAGAGATTACGGGATTGTCAAAAGAAAAAAAAATTCCAGGAGTTTCAAAAAAGAGGAAATGTTGTGAAGGTTCCAAATTACCCACCTTTTGTACTTGATGGTCCCTTGCTCTGATCCAGCAAGCTTCTGGTCTTACTCTTTTTGTGATTCTGTGTCAATTCCTGTTGTGAGAAGGCATTAAGTGCTCTCAGAATTTGTTACCGTGTTGTATAATAGTTTGCCAATCCAGTGCTTTTGTTTTTCAGGGTGGCCCTAAATCATCTTTTCTTACAGCGGAAAAAAGAGCCAGGCTAAAAACAAATCCTGTTAAAGTCCGTTTTGCGGAAGAGGTTGTTGTGAATGGACATAATCAGGTTTGTGTGAATGCTATCATTGCCAAGCCATATGGAATAGTTGGCTTTAAAATTTTGACAGGTAGACCAAATTACATATTAAGCTAACTGCACTGACTGAGAGTGAGCATGAAATGAAGACAACTTGGCCTTTTCACAACTGTTATTCCCTCCAACTTAAATATATTTGCACTTTGTCACATGGATCCATGGGCTCAAGGTCATTTGAACCAACTAGGATGCCAATGAAAAATAAACAAAAATCTTTCTCTCCTTGTTAGAAGGAAAAAGCTTGTTAAAAGTGTATGTTTCAACCTGATTCAGTAAGCACGCTGAAATCAAATTGTCCTTAGTATTCTTGGAAAAAGAAAATGGAATGGAATAATAATGCTAACAGGAGCATCTACAGGGGGACGGGAGAAATGGTATCAAAATGGTAGCCATGATCATGAATTAAAGCTCAAGGGTTTGTTTGTTATCTACATGCACGATTCTATTGAGCAATCACAGAAGCCACCTTAAATTTTTGTAACAGCATTTTTCTGATATTTGTATTTTCTGTGTGTGGACATATTATTACATATTACACTATTTCTCCTGCTGGGGCATTAATAAACAATGTAATTGCAAAATTGTTCATCTAAAAAGTAGGGATCCCCTGCATTTCTCCAAGTTTTGGTAAACTATGGTTTCCAGAACCTCTCATTATTGGCTAAGCTGACTGCTGTTGCTGGGAATTCAGAAATAGTTGAGAGGCTCAAGTTACCCATTTCTGCATGGGGTATTAACAGAACCCTATTTTTTCCCCTGTTCCTTTTCTGTTTACAAACTTGTGAACACTTTGCTACAGGTTACACCAGGCAGAGATAAATAAATCCTTCCATTTTGCTTTCACTCAGTTTCCCTTTTTTGAATTAAGTTGACCTCAGTTTGAAGTTTTCACAAATATTCTTCTCCATTTTTGCATGCATCTTCTGGTAATATGCATGGACATGTTTCTAGCACACAAGTTTTATCTGCCGTTTTCTTGAATGCAGTCCATTTTAATATATCCTGTCCTCTTGAGACAATGCACTTTTCTTCAAAATATTTAATATGCGTATTTTTAATGTGAAAGCTGTGTGGAAAAGATTCCAATATTGCGTGAATACGGCTGCAGTTCCAATCGCGTTTCCTGGAAAAATGTTAAATCAGTAGTTTTGCATTACGATGCAAACCAGACCTATTGTTCTCCCATTTCTAATCACATTGCTCGCCGTCTAGCCTTTTTTCTTCAGCTCAGTCAAGGATTATGAGCTCATGGATATACAACAGGAAGCATTGTTTTACATATAGGGATCTCCTTAAGTCCATCTGCTCTTATCCATGCAGGAAGATAGATAGCCTTCCCAGATATTTTACAGTATTTTTCCAAATGGCACAGCAACCTTTGCAGGAGGGCCCATCACAGTAGTAATTTTAAATGGAATATTACAGCTGAAGTCAGATTTTTTTGGAAAAATCCCAGAAGTGCTTTCACAGTGTTGGGCTGAAGGCATCAATTGTTGATGAGACGAAATGCTTTTAAACCTTACTTTTCCAAGGTAAGGCTTGTATATCACCCTGTGGCAATCCTCTGCATGGGTCATTTGAGGAATCTGGCTATGTAAATGATGATCTCCCCTCAGTTCTGCTATGCTGCCTCATCATGGGAAGCAGGGGAAGAGGTGATCCTGGGAGGAATGAGCAAAGAATAATGGGAGAATATGCCACAAGTATAGATATATATATATAACCCCAGCAGGCTGAGCAAGCTTGAAGGTCATCACAGCTAAAGCAAGCAGGCACCTACATTGGCCAACAGCAACATAGAAAGATGTTGAAAGTGGATGTCAGCATTAATTCATAGTGCGTGGGAGAAGACAACGATGAATCACTTCCATATTTTGCTGAGAAAACCCCATGGATAGACACAGTAAAGTGATTGATTATATAGTACAGATAGTCCTTGATTTACAACCACAATTAAACCACAATTTCTATTGTTAAGTGAATTTTGTCCCATTTCACGGTTGTTAAGTGAATCTGGCTTTCCCATTGACTTTGCTTGTCAGAAGGTTGCAAAAGGTGATCGCGTGACTGCAACCATCATAAATATGAGTCAGTTGCCAAGCATCCAAATTTTGTCACTTTTTACAGTGCCATTGTATCTTTGGTAACTAAACAAACTGTTCTATGTTAAGGAGTAACTATAGTGAATGATGGGCCTTTTGGGTCAAAGGGTACCCAATACGCTACTGAAGAAGAGCTGATTGTATGTTTGTCACATGGCTAGAGTAGAGCCCTTTGGGAATTGTCATGCAGAAAAAGAAAATCTAAAGCTGCAAAGATAAAATTACAGTGTGAACATGAAATAAACTCAATGCAGTGAAAGATGAATTACTTAGCACATTGACATCTTAGATATCAGCAAATTGAAATGGACTGGAATGTCAGTCAGAAGATATTAAAGCAGTAAATAGTTTCTGCCTTTTAAGATCAACTGTCAACGATAAAGGAACCAACAGTCCAGATATATGACACAGACCAACATTTAGTAGGGTAGCAGCAAAGGTTTTGGTAAAAGATATTCAGATGCTATGACACATTTATACCCTTAACAATTAAAATCATGCAGGACATGGTTTTTCTAGTGACATTCTACAGAAGTGAAAGTTGGACTTCGAAGAAAAAGGATAAAAAGAGTTATTGTCTTTTTTGAAAGTTGGTGTTGGAGGAGACCCTTGAGAATACCAGATGTAGACAAAAAACCTACCCTATTCCTTGCTTTTTGTTAGATCTATGCAAAATTAAAGGATAAGGTTATAGTGTGTTAAGATTGTGTTACAATTATTATTATTTTTTAAAGTGTTGATTGAGCCATTCAAGTGCAGGAAGACATTCCTAAATTAAGACCCTACCATTTAGAAAGCCAATACTTATTCCTGGAGAGGTTCATTGTTCTTTGTGAAGGAATTTTGAAAAAGAACCTCTTTAGGGATCTTAAAACATTATAAAATGTTGAGCTAAAGAAAAATCCTTTGGAATTGCAAGATTACCAACTATTCATATTTCATCAAGGCATATCCCTTCTTCAAAGTCTTTAAACCAATGGAACTTGTGCAAGTGAGGTTTCTCGGGGCTCTGGTCCCACTGGCAAGCAAAACAGATCATGACTGCTGACTTGAGAACTGGCTGAATTAACTAAATCCTGCCAATATAAAACAATAATAAATAATAATATTTTATTCAATAATAAAAATAATAAACTATTCTGGATAAGGTAACAAACTAAAGTATTGGAAGGATGGCTGGAATCTGGAAATCACAAAGAATTATCCTTTTTACTATCTCCAAAGCATGTGGCAATGCCTTAACTTTCCCACAAGGGGGGCTGCTTTATAGCACTAGAATTAAATTTAATCTTTTGATTTCTTTCACTTGCACCCAAGAGACAACAGAAAGGCAAGCAACAGGAAGGCTAATTCTTTACCTAACAGCATTTATTTCCTGCTCTGTAACCTCTGGCTGGCAGGCTTGCTCTATAGACAGAAAAATAAATGCTCAAAATTAAATATACAACAGCACCTCAACATGACAAAATGTTCTTTAAAATGTAAATGTCCCCAAACCCTATTAAGCCTTGAAAGCCAGTAAGGGACTCGGGAGGAAATCCCTAGAACTAAGCAAACTTTACTTTCTGCTTAGAACTCCTTTTGTTCCTCAGTAAATTGCTGCATATTTCACACAAAATTTGAGAGTCAAACGTATTCACTGGTTGCTGCCTTTTGTGTGTTTGTCTAGGGAAGTTCTCTTCTGTGTATGCCCAATGTTCTCAAAGTCTATTTAGAAAATGGACAGACTAAAGCATTCAAGTTTGAAGCAAACACAACAGTCAAGGTATGTTTAAGTATAATATCGTAATTAAATATTGGATTGGGAACTCCCACTTGGCACTGGTGGCCATTGAGGAGTTGGCCTTGTGAATATTTCTCAAACTCTCCTCTATATTGCAAGATGTTTTGTTGAGATAAATTGAATAAAATGAGAAGAGACATGTAATGCCCTTTAAACTCAGTGACGAAAGCCAGAAGATGAATACATTGCTACAGAATCTACTACAATAATGGAAAACATTATGAGCAGGTAAAGTAACAAATCTGGTACATGATGGAACCTCTTGGACCCTCATGAATCAAACATTATATTTCAGTATTTTTGTTTGCTGAAGTCTTTTAAAAATAGAATAAGAAAGCAATGAAATAGCCAACTTGCCTCAGCCATAATGCTCCCCTGTATTTTTTAACGCTCATGAATTTGATTGGGACATGATATACATTTACCCAAGTAGAAGATTTTATTGTAGCCTATGGTTAATTCCCTTCATTGCAAATTTTATTACTTCTTTCTAATGTATGGTAATCCTTACTTAACTGTCAGAGAAATCAGTAGTACAAATTGTAATCCTCCATATCTGTGTGCTGGATTGTATTCTATTTTGATTCTAATCCACGTGGATATTTTTTTCCCCGAATTGTTGTCAGATTACATTGCAGTCAACAATGGGGGTTCGTTGTCAGTAAACTACACTAGCCAAGATTATGTGGCAAAGAATTGTTATGCATTTGAATGGCTTCTCCATCATGGATCAGATCTGCCATACCTTATGACGTGTGTACAATTATCCTTGTGAACAATTAAGCTCTCCAAGTGTATCATTGTGTGGACCTAGATAATTTCTACATGTTGTTGAAATTGTGATTTTTTTTACACCCATAATTGGTAGGATATTGTTCTCACTTTGAAAGAAAAGCTATCCATTCAAAGCATTGAACATTTTGCCTTGGTTTTGGAAGAACAGTATAATGTGTTGAAGATGTATCTTCTGCATGACGATGAGCTCATTGGACGGGTGAGTTTCACTGCTGTGGACAAACTAATGAACTTTTGCCTGGGATACTAACCAGTGCAGGGAGGTTAGAATTGCTCACTTTGGCATTTTGTCTTCTGTGCTTCATAATCCATAGATTGGGAGAGTACAAACTCCAATTATCAAGTCCTATCAGCTTGACCAGCATGACCATAGAAATTGGATTTATAGATCAGTCACATTAATAGAACCACAAGTTTCACACCTTCCAAAACTGAAATATGTATCCCTTCAAAATATATGGCTGATGAAAACTGGAGCTATCCATTTAGAACATTACACACTTGTAAATCTGTTTATATAGCAGCTGCCTTATTGAAATAATCCCAATTTTCATTTATTTGGATTTGATTTGATTTGATATACCAGTTTCCTTGGAATCTACTTTCATTAACTCTTTTCAATACAATGTTAACAGCTATCAATTTGTTATTCAAAGTAAAATTTTAAACACCCTCTTTGGAATTTGTATAATCTTATTCCTGATGGTGGACCATAAATGTTTATTTAATACCACTTTGTTTTCTTTAAAGTACCATTGAACTGTACTGAAATCATGCTGAAGTGTATTTAATATAAATTGCTTCCCTAATGAATCATCTTGAAATGACACTGATTGTCATACAAAATCTCTTTCTTCAATTCCGTCTTCCAGAATGTCAAGCACTCACCTTGTTATAATAGTAGATACTGAATGATTGAGTGTTTAAAATTGTTAGACATGAATTTCCATTCTTTTGGTTTCTTTGATGAGATCCACATAGATTAGGTTTCCCCAAAGATTTGGGTGATTCAAAATCCCCCCCTACCCTTGGCAACTCTAACTGAATTTTTAAGGTGAGTTGTTCTGAGCAGCCACCTATCATTTTACCATTTGATCACAAGTGCTCATTTTATCTGATTGCTTTCCAACTTTGTGTACACAGCCAAAATGAAAATCAAAATAGTGGTGATTTCTGGGTAATTTTGTTACCAGAAAGAGGAATGTTGGCAGTTGCACAAATTTGGAAGTAATATATGAGGGGCGGTGCTCATCTCCGTTTCTAAGGCAAAGAGCTAGCGCTGTCCGAAGATGTCTCCATGGTCATGTGGCTGGCATGACTAAACGCCAAGGGCGCATGGAGCATTATTACCTTCCCACTAAAGTGGTCCCTATTTTTCTACTTGCATTTTTTACATACTTTCAAACTGCTAGTTGGCAGAAGCTGGGACAAGTAACAGGAGCTCACCTCGTTACACAGCGCTAGGGATTCGAACTGCTGAACTGCCGACCTTCTAACAAGCTCAGTGTCTTAGCCACTGAGCCATTGCGTCCCTTTATTTATATATTTATATGGTTCCAATAATAAGGACTTTTGTTATAGTGATAGTATGCTGTTCTGACCCCCCACTTTGCTCGTTCAGAAATGACAACCACACATAGCTTGCAAAGGAATGTCTTTATCAGTCCCGGCTCAAGCTGGCTGCAAGCCCAAAATAAACATAG